ACACTATAATGATCCATTTGTGTTCTTGATGCATAAACAGTAGCTCAAACTGATGGAGAACACGTTTGATCTGATGTTGCTAGTAATCATCATATCAATCAAAATTCATTGAAACATCTTGGACACTGAGTGGTCACACTGAATGAGATAAAAAGAACTTGACAGAAACGTTACATTCGTGCCAAGCAGTTGAGAAAGATCATATTAAAGAAAACAACTATGGAATGGGAGTATGACACCTGCTCACATTGAAGTTCGAAGAGTGAGTTGATGATTACTATTTCTATCAAGTCCATAAGTGGGATGGAACAAGATCATTCTATACTTCCGCTTCTTCCGCATACACAGACTTTTATCCCATGTCTAATCGAATCCCCCACGTCTACTCTTTGTTGCGTCTTGTCCTGGTCTGTCTCGATACACAACGGGATGGAACGAGATTAGTCCTATCTCTCGTAGAGCTCTGACGACAACCATCTATTTTTGTACCCTAACTTGATATGTGATTGCATTTGATGGAATAGTCGAAAACTTGCAAGCATCAAAGAAAACACTCGATCTCGCGCTATCGACGCACGGAATGAAGAAAGAATCAATCGTTGGTAAGTTCAGCTTTGTGTGAAAAAACGTGCGACAATAATTATCTAACTGATTTGTTTAGTCGATGGGGAACTAAAGCAAAGTGATTCCAGCAAGGAGGAAAAACGGAAAAAGCACAAGAAAGGAAGCAAGTATCCTCCCATTGGAAGCCAACCTCAGCAGTTGTCAGCCGCTCCAGAGCTATTTCAGCAATTTCGAATCAATTCAAAGAATTTTCAATCATTGACAGCAAAACCTAATCAGTCTCAATCGGTTAAAACCACATCGAGCCATTATCAGCCGTTTCCAGACATGCCGACTCATTCTCAACACTTCTCAGCCATTTCAGGTCACTCAACATCATCTCAGATATCCAGAATAGATTTCCCCATGTCGAATCCAAACACTATCCAAGTCTTCATCTATCCGGATGGGCGATATGAAGGAACTTACAAAAGTGGCTTGAGGAATGGTCATGGGACTTTCCATTGTGCTCGATACGGTCATATATACCTTGGAAACTGAGTCAATGATAAGCCGAATGGACAAGGAGTGTCCGCCTGGCCTAATGGTAGCCGATATGAAGGAAATTGGAAAGATGGTATGAAAGATGGCTATGGTACCTTCCATTGTGGTGAATGTGGGCATGTATACGTGGGCAATCACATGAATGATCAAAGATATGGGCAAGGATGATTACATCTCGTGAAGGCTGGCGATACGAAGGTTCTTGGATTGCTGACAAAAAACATGGATGGGGCACTATGGCGTTTGTCAATGGCTATGTCGCACGAGGCAATTGGTTCAATGACATGTTTATCGGCTAACACTTGTCTTGAACATCTGTTGTGTGATATTCAGTCTCATTCTCATCAAGGACACTTCTCAAAGTGTAAATGCGAATGTGCATATGATAAAAATAAAACTGCGACTAGTTTCCATTCTCCACCAACTTTTTCACTGGTCACATCAGTTAACTTGCTCACTGCATTGAATGCTACTGAGAACTGATGATGAGGCCATGATTATCACCTTTCGACTGTGGATGTGGGTGTAGTATTGAGTCACGACGTGGATGACGGTATCAATGTGAGGGCCAGTACAGGTGTGTGGTCGCAGACATAGGAGTAGGTCAGAGTTTGGATGCAATGGAATGTGAGTGTGACTAGAATATTCGAATCCTACCTATACCCACACCAATTACCTTCCTGTAAGTTCGAACACTTTTCTTGTTTGCTCAGTGCAATATGTTCTGTCAACGTAGCAGTAGATGATGATTGTGAATGAAAAAAAATCGTAACTATTGAAGCAAGCTTCGCATCAAAGCCACCCAAAATATCAGCTAAAAAATCTTTCTGATTCCAATCAACGAATAAATCTTTTATATTAATCACAAATTGATTCCAATGCTGAAAACTAGTGTGACTAGTATCGCTTTTCAGGGTACGTTCCAAAAGTTATACAGAAGAACAAAAAACAAAAGTTTCCTGAAGTTGTTGGCATGAATCTTGACAAAGGGATCAAGATCACCAAAGTAAATACGGATGTCACGAATTTATAGAATCGATCATATTGTATACCAGCCAACGTATTCAATTAAAAAAGATTACTTCCGTGGAGTAAAACATGAAGTCAAGAAATATGACACCCAAAACAAAGAGACAGAATAGCGTTAACAAATTACATTTGTGCTAGTTTATTAATCACTTTTGTAAATTGAATCAGAGCTCGACATGAAAATGTTGGTTTTAAATTATCTTTGAGAGCATTCAACACGTTCACAATATCATTCTCATGTAAACAAGAAACACAAAATAGATGCGTCTAAAACCAATGGCTCCAAGAGCGTTTGAACACGGTTGTAAGCAAAACGGACGTGTCTAGGCATAGTTATAAGAATTTCTCAAATGCTTCTTTATGTATTTTGTGCGTTGACGGTGTTAAAATGTGACTGGAGATTCATTTAACCGCATACACACGCAATCTAATTTCAAATCTCGTTAGAATGCAAGAAATGTTTTATCTCTGCTGCGTTCATTCCTTGCGTATCAGACGCGTTTATATTGGAAAAATATTTATGTGGTTGAACTTCCAGTTGAAGTCATTGAAGACAGAAGCATGCAGTGAAGTTTGACACTACTGACGAACTATAAGAATATCTTTCTTCGAAGCATCTGTTGTTTTCTATTAGCCAATTAAAAGCAACTCTCCTTGAAAATGCAATTGTGAACCGATCATTATTCTTTGACCTATTCTCAATTCAATGATTGATCAATCTTTCGTTTCGCTTCGAGATTGTTGTCAAGCTAAATGAAAGCAATAGATATTTCTATGTCCGATTGGCATCAATCACATGCAACATATTAGATACACAAAGCTACAGAAATAAAAAATAATATTTCTCCATCCAGCTATTCAATTACGAAGCTTCTTAAACCTTAAATTTTTCTCCATCAGATTGTGTTCCATATTTATTGAGATTTTCTTCTAGCATGCCGAAGAATTGATTCCAATACATAAATCTATTTTTTCTCATTTTTAGAGCAGATTCTTTCTTATTGTTCTGTCCACCATTCTTAACTGATCGATGTTCAGTAGATTTTGTTTATTGAGGGCAACTTTCGCATAATTCGATCAAAATTTTTTATCTTATTCTCTTCATCATTGGTGCGAAGCGAGAACTTTAAGAAATTACCATAGGTTTGATAGAACTCAAATAAGAGGATTTTTTTCTTTGAATCTTGGCATATTCTTCTTCCTACCATTCCTCAACCACTTATGTCGATGGAAACAAGTCGATGATTGTGTAAGACGGTTAAAGCAACGCAAAAGAACAATTCTTTTTTTGCATTTAAGCTACACTATACACGCTCGTAGTTAGATGAGTCATTTCGAATTAGAGATGCCGGAAATCGCTTTTTTTTCAACCCATGGGTCAACCCAACCCAACCGATTGCTCTGTGGGTGGGTTCCAGCGAAATTTTAAATTTTGCATTCAGCTCATGGGTTGCAAGGTTATATCGAATAGCTTGAATCCTACCCATTGGCAACCCTTGGTATTTTGACATTCAACTTTCTTTTATGTATTGATACAAATGAAAGTTTTAAGGCGCCTATTTAAGGATTGTTTATAACTCCCTCAACTGTAGGGAGTGGGTGTGGGTGGGTGTGGGGTGTGGGTGTGGGTATGGGTGTGGGTGTGAGTGTGTGGGTGTGAGTGTGTGGGTGTGAGTGTGTGGGTGTGGGTGTGTTGATATTCTCTTTACCCACACACCCATACCCTTATGTTCAATTAAATCACGTGCAATTTTCTATTAAAGTATTATAGTTAAATAAATTTTTCATGAACAAGTAACGTTTGTCTTTGCGATACTACCATAAACTCCAATCTAAAAAGAGGGTGTGTAAGTGTGGGTGTGAATCTTGATATGCATACTGGTATTGATGTATGTATGGTTCATCTCTTCACCTATTCAATCAATAACACCCACATCGAGATGCACCCAAGCCCACCCTGAATTTTCTGCCTGGAAAAACTTGATTAGACGAGAAGCAAACATGAAAAACATATGATAAGATGATGGTACTGAACCAAGAAGTCATCAGCACTAATAGTTATCCTGAAATTACACGAATACATATGAACACGTAACTATACACGTGCAAGCAAACACAAAATTATTTTATTTTGTACGACCATCGCTGCAGTCGATGAAATAATTGAAAAAGATAAACTTAGCGAATATCTATCGTAAACATGAGATCTTTGATTAGTACAAATAATCGATCGAATATTGACATTAAATAATCTTTCAAATATAACTAAAAAGAAAATATTAATTTTCAATTCTTGCTTTTGTGTAGATACACTCGAAGTATTCTGGTTTGACTTCTAGAAATGGATCAAAAATAGCAATGACAGCATTATTAACTAATACTTTAATTAGAAGATATAGTTTAATGGCTTCTTTCGTTGCTTTTCAATCACTTAAATCAACACATACTGGACTAATATTGTTATTCTAATTAAAACAGAAAGAAAATGACATAAAACAAAAAAAAAAAATTAAAATCTAATTTTTATTACTTGTTCAACAAGTTGTTTCAAATTTTCATTAGCCTTACTAACAGCAATCACTTTAGCACTAAGTTGAAGCAAGTCGTAAAGCAAATGATTTATCAATACTTTAATAATTATTTTCTTTCAATATATTAAAATAAATTAGTTTTTAAATAACAGATTTCGTCCAGCATCTGTTACACATACAGTTTTATTTCAAAAATCATTTTCAGTCATGTAGAAAAATTATCAAAAAGAATAGCAATGGATTAACTTTAATAAAAAAAAAGAAATGATTGACACACAAATTTTCACAAAGAAATTTAAGTAAGAAAAAAATAAAAGAAACTTGTCATGACTTTTATCGACATATTGCATTATGAAGTGGAATTGCTGATAGACCTGCAAATGTAATTCCAAATGAATCACCAATAGATGCGACACCCATTGAAAATTCACGATCAGGTTTAGGAATCTAAAATAAAAACAACTCTACTAAAATTAAATCTTACTTAGACTTAAATTATACTTCAATCGATATCTTGTAAAATGTATTGACATAAGCTCCACCACCAATTAAACCTTCAAATACGACTAAACCGAAAACTAACCATATACTCGGTATATAAGCCGTGCGATAGATACAAGCAAAAAATATACCCATATTAGTAAGCTAAGTAAATATATATGTATAGAATACAGAAACAAATATGTAAATAAACTAACTTGAATAATAGGTAAAATCCAAAGATGATGAATTCTAAAGAGAGCTACGGATGAACGTGACAAGAAAACACCCAACTGATAGAAAACTGAGTACCTGAAAATAAAAAATTCGTATGACACAAGTAGTACATTTATCATGTAGGATGTGAATATTGGTGAGGGCGAGGCGTCTATCCTACTCACAGCCTGCACTCCCGCACATCCTGAAACTATTTGTATGGATTTGGTCCAAGAGGGGTATGAGTGTGGGTGTTGGTCTTTTCTTAGCTGACACCCACACCTACACCCTTTGTTTCTTGTTATTAAAAAGAAAAATTGTTTTCATAAATAATAATGAAATAAATGTAGTCTTTTTATTGAAGAATTATAAGAAAATAAGTTTCCTGTTTGATTCTATTTAATCAACGAAGAGTTTCAAATGATATCTTTCTATGTGCTTACGAGGGAACTACTCGAACTAATACTCGCCATTTGAGCTCATACAAGGAAGTCTTGATAAGATTAGAAAAAGACTAAAAGAGTTCGTCTCCATCATCCTTTGGAGTTGGATTATGGCCATTTTATTAAATTTTTAACCCAATCTTAGGTACTTAGTAGAAAACGGAAATAACGGTATTTCCACCTGAAATTTTGCTCATAATTAGGTCAAATAACAAATAGAATGTGCTGAAAGTTTCAGACGAAAACAATGTTCCTTTGTCGAAATATTAAATTCTCAAGTAAACTTAATTTTTATGGCATATCTGTAGCAAACAACTATCTTTTAGAAATTCAATATCTCGATAAAGAAACATTTTTTTTGCCTGAAACTTTCAGTAGATTCTATGGGTCATTGAATTTATCTATTGGTAAAATCTCAGTAAAACGGCAATACCTCAGCTTCAAAGGCCAATGGGCACGAATCCTTTTAGAATTTTACTAGTCTTACCAAGGCATTCTTGTATGAACTCAAAGAGCAAGTATCAATTCAGGCAGCTCTCTCATTAGAACAATATATTTTGAATATGTTATACTTTCATTTGTAAATTGGCCATAAAATTGAGCTAAACTTGTATGCCTATTATTACTTACCAACGATATTGTGTAGGATGTGACATACTCGTATTACGAAAGAAGATGAGTTCATACTACATGAAGAAAAATATAAACATAATACTTAAATGGTTAATTGATAAGTAAATCAAATTGCTAAGTTTCAACTCATAATGCATATACAAGAACTTGTCAATGTCAAAAAGACTCATATTTACCAATCCTTGATTGATTAAATATTCAGCAAAATAAACAATTGTCAATGGAATCATATACTTGAGTAATGGCTATAACAAATTCATCAATAATAAAAAGTTAGAGAAAATGTTATTATCAATCGTATACTTTAACTAGCTTAAGTCGACTTCTAAAATCTTTCAATGTTCCATTTACATGTATTATCTTTTCATCAGCATTACTCTCTATATAGAAAATACATACACATTTCCTAATAAATCTATTATTTTCTCTACCTGTGTCAACATCAGTAGTAGTTTGTTCACTTATTAGTTGATATTGACGATGTCTTGCAACAGCTTGACTAGCTCCGACCATTATGTAACTTTATATATACATATAAATCAAATAACTTTCATTTAAAGAAATACATATTTTTCTTTATACTTTTTGTTTACCTGATAACTAGAAGAACAGGTATGAAAAGTAAAATAAGTATAGCAGTTCTGGGACTTAGTTTAAGTAGACTAGTTAGTCCTGTATAGGAAAGTGCACCAAATAAGCCAGCAGCCCCTGTACCACTTGACCATGCACTGACTGTATGTTTTGCATAAAAAGATGTTAATTGTAACATTGTAATTTCGCCAATACCTGCACTGATACTTGCACAAACAACACCTTTAATTTAGAATTTTTGTTTATATTTCATGAACTATGTCAATTAACTTACCGAATAAACTTAAAGCAATTACTTTTGAAGTACCAACAATGATCAAAGCACTAACAGCAAATAATACAACGAAAACAAAACGAATACTTGAATAGAAAAAGAAATCAATTCATTAGTGTGAAACAACAAAATAGCGATTAGCTTTTACTTATATGAAATTTTGTGCATAAAAAATGGAGCTATTAATTTAATAATTAATTCTGGTAAAACATCCGCTAGTAGAATAGCCTAAAAAACGATTGTCATAATCGCAACAAATATATCAATAAAATTCAAAACAATTTTTCTTCAAAATTTATATCTACGTCAAATCACTCCTATGTTGAATTCAGCATTATAATGTACTATAGGGACGGAAGAATATTCCTGCCTTTAGCTACCTGACAATTAGAAGTACTGCTTATATACACTAATTAACCACTTACTAGCTACAAGAACAGATGTATGTCACAACGTAGTCATCATTCTATCGAAAGAGTGATCCCAGATTAATAGCTATTAGCGGCTTGTCTAGAGTCATTCCATGTCTGACAGTATTGAGACTTGCACCAGGTCTCAAAATCGGACCACCTTTTGATGGCACGATCAGGCCTGTACATTGGGCCAAGAATTGCTCAAGTCTGCCAAGTCCAATTTAGAATGGCACTACTAAAAGTTTTTTTTTTTTTTTATAAAAAAAATTTCTACACTATGGAACTCAACAGTCGGTATAAGCGTTGCAAAAAGTTTATTATCATAATGATCACGAGTTGAATAAAGTCGAACAATTTTAATGCTTGAAAAAAAACAGTATGATCTGAAAGATCAAGATATAAGCTTTCACGAGTAAAATACTCGCTGCTTAATTTCAACAAGTTCGATCGGTTACTATTTTTAATTCCACAGTTAACACTCTTTCACTTCAGTAATATCCATACCATTTCATGCAATTAATAGTGCACTTGGCGTTGTGCATAAAGAAGGAATGTAACTGAACCGAATAAATGATCTGCTTTTATTTATTGGCTAAATAAAACTTCCGAAACGTTCACGTAACAAAGATTACTGATTATTATCAGTTGTGAGGTACAAAACTCATGTAAGAAATTTTGAGAAAAACTCAGAATAAAATCGATTAAGAAAGATTAAAATCAAATGAAATCTATCCTCAAAGGAAAATCTTCTCAGAAAAAAGAAATAAACTTTGGGTCGGACGATCTGTTTCGAGTCATAGTTTGTACATAGTATCTTGGGCATACGTATCAAACAAAGTAGCCACTGAACCATGGCGATTATGTACTATATGACATATAAATATGATTATTAAATATCATTCAAGATCAGAACTATACGAGACTAAAATGAAACAAACAAAAATTTTCGTATTTTCTTTCTTTTTCTATTTCTCATATAATAAGTCTCTTTTTTTATGTATCTTATCATTGTCGTTACATCATATTTTTCATTTAATTTCATCTACCCACTCCTGTTGATATTGGATTACAATCAAATTGATTTGTTGCATTATGTGACACTGGTTGAGTTAAATTATCATTCTTTTCTTGTTTCAATATATCATGAGCAGCACTTAACATCACTACATAACCAAAATTATTGCAAAGACCAAGAAGCCTAAAATATATTAGATTCGTATGATGCAGTCATGTATTAGACAAAACAAAAAGAATATACCAAAATCCAATAAATTCAAGTCCCCATTTGCCATGGTTTGCTCGATTACGATCATCTGCTATTGAAAAAGGGTTCATCATCGAAAAAACAAAACAATAATAGAAAGATTCTAAATGTTTTTGTCTATTTTATTATAATTAATTTATGTGAACATACAGAGTTTTTATTTTTAAAAAGACAAAAAACAAAGAAAGCGAATCAAATAGCCATAATACAAGCATTTGACAGTTTGTGTCAAGCTAATTTTATTTCAATTAAAATAATGACCATTTGATTTGCTATTTAGCATGATTGAGTATCAAATAAATCTTAAGTAATGTAACTATTGCAAAAAAACTCACATCATCATGCTAGGCTATGCCTTTTCTTTAATATTTTAATCAAGTATACAATTATCCGAACATCAAATGTCGGATAAAAGATAGATAAAGTTGTCAACGTCTAAATAATTGTAGAAGCGAAAAAAAATGAGCAAAATCAAGAGCTTGCACATACACACACTCATATCATTTCTGTTTTCTATCAATCAGTATTGAGTATCATATTGAATCCTTGATAAAGAATCTGATGGACAAAAAATGGTAAATATCTCTTATTTTATTTTATTCGACACTAAATCTTTTTATATTTAAGTACTCACCTGTCAAAATAGTTTGTTCGTCTAATGGAATATCATCTTGACGTAGTTGAACACGTTGAATATTTAACATCGGATCTGATTCGAGAATAAGTGTAAAAAAATCAAAATGTGTTATTTATTCAAAGAAAAACAAAAACAAACTGATTATTTTATCCATCATTACAAATACCATTGAGTGTAAGTGTAACCAAATCAAGATTTTCATAAAGAATTTTTTTTTAAACATTTTTTCTTAACATTGTATCTAAAGATTCAAATAAACATGTCAAAACAGCATTTAACACTAACTAAAAATTTTAAATATTTTTAAAAGATTTTATATTAAATTTAAAAATTTCATACTTTATTTTCTTTTGTAGGACCCACCACATAAGAAACACAAATCAACATTATTTCTATAGACAATTGTTAAATTATAAAAAAAAAACATCTCCTGAACCTTTATGGGTTTTATGAAATAGTGATTTTTAAAATTCTTTTTGTTCTTTTATTGTAAAAAATAATTGATTATAATACTAAATTGAACTAAAAAAAGATAATGAATATATACAAGTATGATTAAATTTATGTACTTTAGCAAATATACGACTACCATCATTGTCTAAAATAATAATTTCTTTAATCATATATAATGACGGTACCTATAAAATAGATGAAATCATAAGTTGGAACAATGAAAAAAAAAAACTTACAAAGATATTTTCTAATACCATATTAATAATTTATAAACTAAAATTAGAATAATAAAATACATATTTGTTAATCCATATCGCATCTTTTTTAACAACTGTTGCGCATTGATCTCAATCGAACCACTGTGAGAAACTACGGCCACTGCATCACAGTTTCGAATCGCATGATTCAGTCTATCTGATACCAACCAATTACAAGTCGTTCTTACATAATCGCAATTGGTCAAATCCTAACGCTAAAAGTTAACCACAGAGGTATAGTATAGTAGAAAGCCTTCGTGAAACTGTGATTCAGAATTCATTATACGACAACAACCAGAACATGTGTTTCGTATATATTTTTCTTTACTTGAAATGAAGCCTTGGTGGTTTTCGAGAGTGTTGAATTCGAATCCGAGGCCAGATCTCTATCATAATCAATAGTTTTATAATTTTTAAAATATTTTCTAGTTTTCTTCAATGGGGTGGGTGTGGGTGTGGATGTAGGTGTGTATGTGGGTCTGGGTGTGGATGTAGGTGTGTATGTGGGTCTGGGTGTGTGCGTTGGTCTGAGTGGCGGTGCCTTTATTGCTCTATTGCTTAATAAACTCGCGCCGACACCCACACTCACATCCACCCCAAAATCCTTGATGATGTCTTGGATTCTCTTTAATTGGCATTGATACAAGGAATCCATAGTTCAGTATGTGGAGATCATTTCTCGATACAAGAGTTCTCAAATCGTCGAATCAGTTGACATATCTACTTTTCGAACATTAACTGGTCGGCAACTGTCAAAAATACATCTTTTACATTTACGACAAAGAAATCTTACGATGAACTTTCTAAGGGAATATTGTTGAAGCTTGATATGTTTCATGAAATAGATCTATCAAGGTCGAAACTACTTGATAACAAAAAACATGCTGTTACAAGTTCCTAATGTTACTAAAAACAATTACGTGTCGAGGAAAACTACAGCGAATAATTCGATTTTAGCGATTATAATTCTACCTAGTCTGTTAAACTGAAAGAATCAAAATAGGATTAGTTCTTTTTTCCGAAAATATTCTTAATCTAAAAAGAATAATCTTCAAAATATAAACCGTACTTTCAAGTAATCTTTTTTCAGTACACTTGCGTAACAAAGTGAATTCTTGCTAAACTCAAAATTCATCAAGGGAAAGCATATCAAATAGGATAGGAAGAAAGATGTCTCCCTTGCAACATGATGGCAAATTATCATTATTTTGTCATATCGCAACTTTTCATTTCATCACAGTCGCCATCTGTCATAAAATTACTCTTTAGAAAAGAGTAGTTACTTCAGTTTAGCATTATTCTTATTGATAAAAAGTAATTTCATTTTGCTAACTAGCTTCAATGTTTCTATTGCGCCTGCGATGACGGTGAAATTTGTGCAGCCAATCACATTACATTATATTCTACCAATTTTAGAAAAAATTTGAGAAAAGAGAGGAAATTAAAAGTTGAAGACTAAGTTGTTATACGCTAGACACAATAGAATGAACAAAAAAAATTCCTTTTTCGATCTCTATTAGTTTCTTGATTTCATGCATGACAGGGTTACATAAACAAAACTATCAGCAGAATCGCTCGACATTTCTTTTGTAGATTTTCTACTGATAATTCTTACATGGAGCTGCATAATTATTTGCATAAACCAAATTTCTCTTGCTTGAATTGATGTTTTGTTATCTATTCTAACAAATAAGCAGACGTTACTTTGATCAGTTAGTTAGTTCAAGTCTTAGATGGCGTCTTTCATAGCTGTTTATGCATTTTCTGTCGTATGCTGTGTGATAAATATATGTTAAACTTACTATGCTTTCAGACTGTTGTATATCATAAAATAGAAATATTGTGTCTTTTTTGATAATAATGATTATTAAAACGTAGAATACGAAGGCCATATGGTTTTCTAGGCATTCAAAAGAAAATCATTTCGCTGAAATGAATAATGTGCTGGGTACGTGATTGAGTTGGCGTTTCTCTCATCTTGTTGTTTCTTCGTCAAAATTTGAGGACTTGTGAACTTCACATCAAACAGTGTTATTCTGAATATAAGCAATTCAAAACAGTTAGCAAGTCAAATAATTTTTATTTGATTACTTGTGAGGGCTGTCTTTATTTATCGACTAGATCGATGAAGGTTATTCGTCATTTACTTCAAAAACTGTCTCAACTGAATTTATTGGTTGGCCGTCATAATGTCGAAAGGAAAAATGTCGAAAAAACAATATTGACATGAAACATTGTCGGTTAATATTTTAGAGAATTGTAAATAATATAGTGCGTGTTTTATTGCATAAAATTAAGTTGAAATCTTAACAGCGAGAAAAATATTAAAAAAAATTAAAAATTAAAATGTTATTTTTTCCGTTTAGCAACTACAAATGATAAACCATCTAGATATTCCATAGCATTTAGTGCTCCATCATAATATCTTTCTCCAAGTTTATCCATACGACGTTGAATAGCAACCGTTTTAGCTTGTTTTGATCGTGTCCCTAAGCCTGCCATGAATTGAACATACATATGATGAAAATGGTTTTCTTCTCCTTGAAGAAGCTTAATAAATGACCATATATTTGGATGGTTAATTTGTACTCGACGATTGAAGCGACTATGAAATGCTAAATGAAGCATAAGAAGATAAATTTCTGAGTTAAATACAAGAAAAAGATCACCTTCAGCATTATTATTGGTTCTGATGTTGAGACCATGTACACACCATTGAAAAATAGGAACTTTGTTAAGCCATTGTTCCTGAAAATATTGTAATAAATCCTTTAATGTGTCCTTTAATGTTGATGGCATTGTAGCGATTAATTCATCATAAGTATCTTCAATAAGCGCTTCTGGTATTAAAGGAAGCGCCATTAATTTTCGACAATATTTTTTAATATCATCATCATTATTATATGTTGTTGATAAGCCAACTCGTTGTATTGCTCAATAAATAGCTTGAATAAAATGAAAATAACAAGATAAATGTGTTGCTGTAATAAACTAAAAGAAAAGAAAAATCTGAAATGTATTTTCAATAAATACAAAATACTTACTTCGAGTGCAACTACAGCTAATAGACCTGGTTCAAAATCACTCATGATTAATTTTGGTGAAAAATTCATTTCCATTTGTACAGCTACTGCTTTCAACTCACGAAACATAAAGTGATATGTACTTTTCTGTCGATTTGGTAATAAGCCAAAAATACAAGGAAAGGCTAAAAAAATTAGACACACTTATATAGTCAAGGTCTTTTCTGTCTACTCACACTGATCATATTTTATCGCATGAATTGTATAAACTTGATCAAACATGCTTGGACATGTTGAAAACGTGCCATCCATGAATATTGTTTCAGCAGCAAAAAGCATTTTAAGTTGTTCACTTGTTGAAAATAAAAGTATTCGTTGGCGTCTTGTTATCATCTT